TGAACAAACGGAACTGAACACTTCTTGCTGCATCACCATAAGCCCGGCCTCTGTTAATGAAGGAAGAACAAGAAAATGGCCTCTGTGCGGCACAGACACTCAAGAACTACAGGGAGCTGAGGATGCAGTCGAAACCCTGAGAAATACTCTGGCATCAGGCCGTATGCTCAGCATGAGGTGACAGAAGCCTGCAACTGGAGAAGTGTGAAACCTGTGGGGCACAGAGAGCTACAGACAATGCTGAAGAGTCCAACATAGACATAATTGGAATCCAAAAAGGGCAAGAGAAAAAGCAGAACAAAGGAATACTGGAAGAAGTAATGGCCAAGAATTTTCCAAATTAGTGAAAGAAAATATTGAAGAAGCATAAAAATACCTAGCAGAATAAACAAAATTAAAAAAAATTAAAAACCAAAACACCACCTAGACACATTACAGTTAAACTTCTTCTGAACACCAAAAATAAAGAAAACACCTTGAAAACATACAAAGGAAAAAAGAGGAGATACAGAGAAACAAAAATACACGCTTTTCATCAAAAAGTATGAAGTCAAAAAAAATAGAGCAATATCTTTGTGTTATGAAACTTTTAAAAAACCTCACCCAGATTTCTATGCTCAGCACGTATATTCTTCAATAATAAAAGCAAAGTAAACATTTTCTTGGAAAAACAAAAGCTGACAGAATGCATTGCAAGCATACTTACAACCCAGGAAATATTAAAAGCAGTTCTTCAAGCATAAGAAAAATCACAACAAATGGAAACGTGGATCTACATAAAGGGCATGAAAGCACTAGGAAATGTAAAATTAAGAGTAAATATAAAAGACTTTTTTCTTCCTTTTAATCGCTCTAAAAGGTAATTGACAATGTAAAGAGAACAGTGTATTTGAGGGCTATGTAACATCAGTGGTCGGGTGTCCTGTTTAGTGGCAAGATTAGTAAGAGGTGCAGTGTATTTGCTGGTTACTTCATGCCATGTAATTCTCCAGCATTTCAAACCCAAGGCCAGGCCTCGGACTTTAGATGATTTTATCAACTAGTTTTTGTCATGTGGATTAATTACTCTTTCTAGTACTTCTTCCCCTAAAGATACAATCACTAGGATATCTTCACTATAGTATGCTAACTTATTCTTGGTAATTATTAATTTCAAGTTGCTCCATACTTGATTATGACAGCATGCTGATGAATTCAAATGTGGCAAAAACACACATGTATATGAACTATCTATCATTCCATAAAAATGCGTATTGTGTCTGATGGGACGCTGATACAGAAATGGAAAAGAAGACAATTGCCAAGCCTATCATAGCAAATCAATCAACTTGCCCTGTTGTACTTTTTGTCCTGTCTTTTCCATGCACGTACAGCTGAAGTAATGGGGGAACTGCCATGTTTCATCCCCATCTACTCTCTGTCTCCAAATCTGCTTTGAGTTCGGCCACCACTGGACTGTTAGAAACAGAGCTTTTGGAATCTGCTCTACTTTCAACCATTTCCCTAAATAGAGTAATTATCTCTCGTTGCTGGAAATCAATATTGCTTACAGGGAAATCAGGGTAAGGTCATTAGCATGTTTCCATGGAGATCAGGTATTCCTTCTTTACTTTCCAGTGTGCAGTAATGCACACATCTCTGTCTTATCCTTTCATCCATCCTTCCTTTCATCTTTCCCTCCCTGCTTTCCCTCCCTCCTTCCCTTATGCACCCCCTCCCCCTCACATTATTGTCTTCTGGTGTTTAAACTCTGAGCTATCAGTCTGAAGATCACTGCCAGACACAGGGAATTCTCCAATTTCCTGTATCTAAGTGATGCATATGCATGAAGTTATGTTTTTGTCCTCAATTCTCTTTTTTACCTCTGTAGGTTTAAGGATTAAAACAAATGATGCATTTTTTCACATAACAAGGATATAGATATATCTTTTTCTTTCTCTCCAAACATACTACCTCTTTCGTAAATGCTGGTGTAATTTTCTTCGACAAGCTTAAGCTATTGTATGCACTTAGTCACATACTTTCGAATGCATTTTTGTCACAAAAGTGGTTCTGCTTTAGAGAAACCATCAGTCCCGTTGATCAGGGGCTGAGATCAGGACCCCATTTTCCTGCTCATAGCTCTTTCTGGAACATTTTTCAACAGTTTTAGTCCCCATTTATTTGTCATGCATTGTGCCAAGAGCTTTAGAAACCATTTTCAGAAATTTATTTAAAACTCAGGACACCTTGGAAAGTAGTCAGCATTGTGATCTCTATATTACAATTGAAATTCAGACTTGGATGAGTTTAATAAGTTACCCGAGATCACATAGTTAGTAAATGATTTTAGGGGGAAAATGGCATTTTTGTCACTAAGAATCAATTCGCCCTACCTCCAATAATAGCCCTCGTTTTTCAGGTCATGTGTTTTTCAAGCTCTACAAGTTTGTGGTCTTTTTGGCTGGAATGTAACCTGAGAAAATATGGAGCTGTATTTCCACCAAATAAATAAAGTCATAGCATGGAATAAAAGAAACCATGCCAAGAGGTGGAGAGAAATTCACGCCTGATAGCACTATTTGCTTCCTAAATTCAGATCTAAGTGAATCCAGGTTTCCCTGAAATTCTTTTTTTTTTCTAGTTTTATTGAGGTATAATCGACACATAAAACTATATATTTAAAGTGATGTTTTGACATACATATACATCATGAAATGATTTCTACAATAAGCTAATTAACATATCCATCATCTCACACATTTACCTTTTTTTTTTTGTGGTGAGAACATTTAAGATCTACTCTCAGCAAAGTTTAAGTGTACAGCACAGTATTGTTAACTGTGCTCACCATACTAAACATTAGACCTGTACTTACTCAGCTTGCATAACTGTAACTGAAAATATGGCGCGCGCGCGTGCGCGCGCACACACACACGCACTGAAATACTATTCAGCCTTCTAAAAGAAGGAAATTCTGTGACAACATGAATGAACCTGGAGGGCATTATGCTAAGTAAAATAAATCACAGAGAAAAACTAATATCATATGATCTCACTATATGTGGAATCTAAAAGTCAAACTCATAGAATCAGAAAGTGGAAAGATTGTCAGGGGCTAGGTAGGGGGCGGGGGATGGCGAAAATAGGGCGATGTTGGTCAAAGGGTCCAAAGTGTCATTTATGCTGGGCATTATCAACTATGTGAACAAACAAATTCCCTTATATTGCTTCAGCTAGTTGAAACTGTGTTTTCTGTCACTTGTAATGTACAGTAGTGGAGCCAAGATTTGAACCCAACTCTGTGTGACTCCAAAGTTTATGCTACAATCCATATGCTATAGTGCCTCTCAATGCTGCTATACTGAGGACAGAGGAAGCTCAAACCAATATCTAGTGACTCACAAATAAAAGATACCCTGTAATTTCCTCCTCTATTAATAATGAGAGAATTGTCTTGCATGAAGTCAAATGCATGCAATGTGACAATTTATTGATGAAGTGCAAAAATATTATCACATTTCTCAATGTGATAAACCTGTATTTTGAATGAATTTTTCATTATAAATGCTATTATAAACTTTCTGTAGACTTGAAGCATATTTTACTTAAAAGTGTCCAGTAAAGAGGGATCTCATTGTCATTTTTTTTTCAAAAGCAACCATCTCATATGTGACCATTTCCCCCCTAGGTCAAATTATGTAACTGTTTCTTAAGAGAGTTACATATATGGCCCATTTATTTTACTTCTTTCTCGTGCCAAAGCACTATATTCTAGTTAGGGGACAAATAACTCTTTTCTCTTTTTCCCCCACTAAAAAGAAATTAGTTCACCTGATTCAGACTTTGGACCTGACCACACATTTAACCCATCAGGATAAATTGAAATGAAATGAAAAAGGACAAGTACACAGCCCTTAGCAGGGTTGGTGAAAGATTCCATTTTTACTCGGAAAATTTGCTACTTTTTGTGCTAGATGTAAACTCGATTTTTAACTGATATTCATGTTTCCTGGCTCTGAAATGAATAAGTTCCTGTGATTGTTTTGTCAAGTGCCCATTTAAAGACTATTCATTAATTAGTGCCCTTGACACAGAAATACTGGATAGCAGACCTTGTGCCTCACGCACTAGTCTACCGTAGCTGCTGCTCGACATGGATGGCTTTTCTGCAGTTAGCGCCAGCCGCCTGGTAAGCTCTGAGGAAACACACGAATATTTCTGTCTGGAAACAAGGCAGCCACATAAAGCAGCTGTAAAGAGCTCTCAGAAAAAGCCCCAAGACACAACTGCCTGATAAAACAGACTTAGCAGCTAGCTTCGATTTCATTTTTATTCGCTTTTCAGACCACCAAATTTCAGCACCTCATTGCTGCTTTGAGCACCAATTCTACCTCCAGGGAGGCTGAGGGGATGTTAAATAGTGTTTTTCATATTTAAAGTTCACATGGATGTCCCTTAAGCATGATAACAGTTCTCCATTAGACCAATTTGAGGTATGGAAGTTGGGAGAAGGTACAGGGAAGCTACAGACGCTTTGCAGAATGAAGTAGAGGCAAAAGGCCAGGACTTGTTTATGTGAAAGGCCAGTGGGCGCTTCGTGTCCTGGAGGCTTGTGCTTTAACTTTGTCTCCTTACCTAGGGGACAAGGAGAATCGTGGTCATTTATTGGCCTGTTTATTGAGAGTCTCTATGAGCAGTCACTTATAAGAAGGGTGGGGGTTTAGAGAGCTACAGTGGAAAAGAAGAAAAACTCAGAACAACATTGAAATGTAGACTCTATCCTTAAGAAATAACAATGAAGTGGAAAAGAGAAACACGAATACATTTTAAAAAAATCAGTTGAGCAGCAAAATTTCAGGGGGGTTGACTATTCCAAGGGACTCTTCATCATTTCTCTGCATGTCTCCAGTCCCATCACACACACATCCAGCCACCAATACTTTCCAGCTGTGCCGGGCCTTGGAGTCATATGGTTACATTCTCAGGATGCTCCCTGACTCAGTCCCTATTTTTTTCAGACTCTGAGTTCACCTCCTCCAGGAAGGATTCCCTGTATGCCATCCTCCACTGGGCTCTATTACAGCACAGGCAACTTGACTGTAAGTACTTTGAAGATATATCTTTACATATTGTAACTTCAGGGCTTGAAATACAGTGAACACTCAAAAAATATTTGAAAAATAAAATAATGCCCAATCCCTTCATTTTGTAGATGGGTTGATCAAGAGCTTGGGAGATAAGATTTTTGCTTAAGGTACAGCATCTAGAATAAAGATTTTTAGTGCTTTCTTTTTGGTTCATGGCTTACCCACTCCTATTATACATATCTGGTGACTTTGCATCATAGGACTTTACCCAAGGTGTGCCCTTACATACTGCAGCCGAAATATACATCCCCAAAACTATCCAACTACCCATATTTGCCAAATGACATTTTGTTGATGTAAGGGTAATGATTGTTTTGTCCAAGAATCAAAGGACTAAACGTTATGGAATACATTCTTAGACTTCAAGAGACTTTAGCAGTTACCTTGTATAACCCTCAATAGATGAATAAAAATATCTTTAGCATCTGAGACAAAATGGTCATTCACTATCTGAAAACCCCGATGAAGGCAACAATACTTTCTGAGCCATGTTCAGTGGCTAACATTTTAGAATTCATCCTTACAATGTGCTGAAACATGGCTGAAGTTCACAGGTTTACCTTTCTTCCTCATGGCAAAACTATAAATGTTAAGTGTCCTCTATGACGGGTTGGCCAAGTTTGGACCTTTATAGGATTACGCAGTTTCAAACACCCTCATGGCTGTGGATCTCAGAAGGATGGGTGTGCATCAAACAAATCACGGTTATTCAGGTGCCAATGGGACTATAGAAGCATACAGCAAGTCCTCACATAATGTTGTCAGTAGGTGCTTGGAACTTTGGCAAAATGATGTGTTACAAAACCAATTCTACCACAGGTTAATTGATGGAAACAAGAGCTAAGTTCCTACAGCATCTCATCAATGTTGCAACGAAATGACATTGAATGAAACAACAATTTTTGAGGACTTGCTGTATATAAAAAGTCTGTGGGTAAAGAGGAAGGAGGTGAAGATAGTACAGCCATAGGAAGGATGGATTATGTAATGACCTATCTTGGGTAAAGTTGATGAGACTCTGAACATTACTTTTACCTACTAAGAATCTGCAGTTTATTTGAGAGAAATGTGGAATTTCTTATTAAAAAGTAACTTTTTAATAGAGTGCTATCTCCAGTATATCTAAGAAGATCATCTTTGTTAATTCAAAACTAATAAAAACAAAAACCATGACCATTCAGCGCATATAAAATCCAAGTAATTTTAAATAAAACTGCTTAGCTGAATGCTTAAGCACTTTGGATTGCTGGAGTGAATCAAAGAATACCTACAATATAAGCTCATTAGGTTCATGAGAGACATGATGATTTAATGCACAAGTCCTCCAGTACCTTTAAACCTCATCTTCTTTTCGTACTTTGGATTATGAGATGCTTTTGCCAATCCCATTTGGTAAACTGCATCTAGTCTTATAAATTTAACCTTTTTGTGAACTGTCTTTGCTGTTAAAAATTCTGTAATGATAAGTCATTTGAATCATGGGAAGTCAAAAAATGTCTGGCCTTTAAAAGTGCCTCTTCTCTCCATCTATAGTATCTCATGATACACAAAATAAGTTAGAAACATATATTTTTTAATATTTATATTTATGATGGTTCCTAAATATGATAAAATTAATTCCAGGGTTAATACAGATCCAGTTGATATCATAGCCCAGACTTGACTTTATAGTTTGGGATTTTTATGGAAAATTTAGGGGAAAGCCTTAATCTCCTATTCTGCCATAGAATGTTTCCCTTTTTATAGGAAAAGAGAATATTTTTTTTAATTACAGGCATTTTTTTATGTAAAATCTGTATAAGTTTGCACTGAGAAATGTTGAATATTATGTATGTATCTCCTGGCTTTGAATTTTTAGTTCAGGAATCCCATGATTACTCTATCTAAACCTATTTGGGAAAATATCTATTTCTCTGTTGGAGAAATTACTTAGGGCCTTACAATAAACAACAGTATAGCAATGTATAAATTTTACCACTTGTTTCACCTCTGTGTGCTTAGACTGTGGACAAGTTATAGAAATAGAGTAGCACATCCATCCTCTCCCCACTTTGCCTCAACATATCAAAACAGCAACAACTTGGGACATAAGGCTATGTGGACCACTGGATTTGCCACTGTCAGGAGAGAGTCAGGAATATCAGCTGACTATGGTTCACACATTCTTGTTAATAGGGAATACAAAGGACTATAAATCCGTTAACTGTTTCCTATCTATTAGGGTCCTGAAATGTTTTACTCATAGCAAGTAGAAAAATCACGGTGAGGTTGGCGCCACAATGAGGAGCTGCTTTGAAACAGAAAGATTAAAATCCAAACTGTGTGTTTTTCAATAATATAATTCTGTCATTAGAAATACTCAGATAAATACAGTTGTTCACTCCGATGTTCAGGACAAAGAAAAATAAACGTGTAAATGTTAAGATTTATTCCATTTCATACCTCATCTAGCATGGTTTGTTTTCAAATTACTATTAACATGGTGTTTTTGCTAGCACTCTTTCTCCAAGAGATTAAATTATAGAGATAACACTGGTTGGATTGAATTTCCATTTTATTTTTAAGGACAGCTTCTTGGGTCTTATAATAATGGTCAAATATAGACCGAGTCTACACCAAAACAAAGCAAGCAAATGCAATCTTGGGGCTATTTGGGCTTAAATTATTTTTTTTTTCTGTTTCAATCACCTGAAAACTCTAGCCAAGAGGAGAATCTTACTAAGATCTGAGTTATCTCTTATTTGATCAGGTCATTTCAAATATCCATTTCATTGTAAGTATTTAGGCACAAGTTTTGTTTACATGTACGTGACAATACCTAGGACATTGTTAAAATATTAAATTAGCTGGGTTTACATCACAACCTAGTTGATTCAATTTCTTGTTTTGCTAAATTTAACCAAAACCAAACTGAAAAACAAGCATGTCTAGAGTAGCTTTTTCTTTTCTCAGAAAATTTGACTATTATTTTCATGAAATTGCAGAAACTTGCAATATGCTTTCACATCTAATTCCCTCATTTCAAAAATGAGCAAAGGTTATTTATAGACATATTTTTGATAGATACCTCACAAATAAAACTCACCTTTAAATTATGAGGTAAAATGTGAAATTAATAGATGAAAATGACATTTTAAGAGGTTCTCTTCTTCAAATACCATCATAAGAATCAAACCAATTTGAAAATAGCAAATGCCTTTCACTATCCTAAAGACGGATATTTTGGATAGCCTTTTTATGCTCTTGATTGGTACAGCAAAGATTACTGAGGACTATGGAATAGTGATATACTGAATTATAATCACTTTTACCATTTTTTTCCAGCTTTATTGAGGTATAATTGACAAATAAAAATTGTATGTATTTAGGATTTACAACATGATGATATACGAGGTCAGACAATTAAGTTCACAAATTGATCTTAAAAAAAGTGCTACATGCCTCATTGCTGAATATCACTACGGTCACTTTCAAAATATTCCCCTTGGGAAGCTATGCAATGACACTTGTGCCTAGTCTACCCTTCAAAGCAATTGTAGAACTCTTTTACTGGAATGGCCATCAGAGCTGTCATTGTATTACCCTTGATGTCGTAAATGTCATCAAAATGTCTTCCTTTCAATATTTTCTTTATCATTGGGTAAAGAAAGAAGTCATTGGGGGCCAGATCAGGTGGGTAGTGAAGGTGTTCCAATACAGTTATTTGTTGACTGGCTAAAAACTCCCTCATAGATAGTGCCATGTGAGCTGGTGCATTGTCATGATGCAAGAGCCATGAATTGTTGGCGAAAAGTTCAGGTTGTCTAACTTTTTCATGCAGCCTTTTCAGCACTTCCAAATAGTAAACTTGGTTAACTGTTTGTCCAGTTGGTACAAATTCATAATGAATAAGCCCTCTGATATAAAAAAAATGTTAGCAACATCGTTGCAACAAGTTTGGGAACTTAATTGTCCGACTTCGTATGTATGCACTGTGAAATGATCAGTATAATCAAGTTAATTAACGTGTCCATCACCTCACATAGTTACCTTTGTGTGTGTGTGGTGAAAATACTTTTAAGATCTACTTCTTAGAAAATTTTAAGTAAACAATGCAGTATTATTAACTATAATCACCATGCTGTACACTAGATTCCCAGAGCTTACTCATCTTATAACTGAAAGTTTATACCCTTTGACCAGCATTCCCTCATTTTCTCAACCCTCCGGCCCTTGGCAACCAAGGTTCTATTTTCTGGTTCTGTAAGTTCAACTTTTTTAGATTCCACATATAAGTGATATCAAACAGTATTTGTCTTTCTGTGTCTGGCTTATTTCACTCAGCATAATGTCTTCCATGTTCATCGTGTTGTTGCAAATGACAAGATTTCCTTCTTTCTTATGAACGAGTAATATTCCTCTGTGTGTGTGTGTGTGTGTGTGTGTGTGTGTGTGTGTAATTTTCTTCATCCACTTATCTGTCGATGGACACTTAGGTTGTTTCTATATCTTGGCGATTGTGAATCATGCTGCAATGAACAGGGCGAGGGGTACAGATATCCTTTTGAGCTTCTGATTTCATTTCCTTCAGATTATGTACATAGAAGTAGGATTGCTGGATCATGTGGTAGTTGCATTTCAAAATTTTTTAGGAATCTCCATGTTGATGTCTAAAATTGCTTTGTTTCTGGGTATGTGAGTATTTTGTCTCAATAAAATTTTAAGAGGAAAATATCAATACAATTTACATTAAAATATTTTTCCAGAGTGCTATATGTTAGTAAATCTACCAAAATCCATGTACTTGTTAAGAACTATTACTTGAGTATCTACTAGCAACCAGGAACTATTCTAGGTGATAGAAATGCAATGGTGAACCAGGCAGACATGGCGGCTGCTCTCACAGAATAAGAGAAACAGACATAAAAGCTATCAACTGAAAAAAAACCTTTATAAATTATGGAAATGCTATGAAAGAAATGACGAGGAATGGAGAAATAAGGGTGTGTGTAAGCAGAATGCAGCTAATCTACACATGGGAAAGCCTGTTGAGGAATGGGTATTTAAACTGAGAATTGAAGAACTAAAAGGTGTTAGCCATGTGAAAAGTGGTGTGAGTGAATGACAGAAGAACTCAGGAAAGAAACATGTGGCAGGAGCATAGTGATCAGCAAAGGGCAAGAAGGATCAGAAAGTCCTTTGAAGTCATCTGAATTTTTATTCCAAGTGCAATGGTTTTAAGGGTTAAGTAGGGAAGGGATAGGATCTGCTTCATGGTTTAAGATGATGTTTAGGGGAGGATTAGAGGTCTCAAGGGTAGAAGCAAGGGAACCCCTTGTAAGGTGGCTGCAGAAGTTCAAATGAGAGATGATATGATCAACAAATGTGGTAGCTATAGACATAGGAAGGTAGAGATATTCGTAATATACTTTAGAGGTAGATAGATTAAAACTTGAATCATGAAAACTTAACAAATTTGATGTAGTCATAAGCTGGGGTTGGCAACAAATTAGAAGAAAGTAATAACGTCTAGATACTTAAAATACTGGGTGTATGATGGAACAGTTACTGGTACCTGAGAAACCAACATTTGAGTGCAAGTAAAGCATTCTGTTCTATAAGTTGAGTTTGAAATGTTTGAAGTATTCAATTAAGAATTTATGTGGAAATAAGAATTTAGAACTAAGTGGAGTATTTAGGGCTACAAATATATATTTAGAGATTATCAATATATAGAGATTATTTGGGGGTAATTCTCCTTTCTACTGATAGTACAATCATATGTTCAGAACTAGGTACAACTCCAATAAAGCTCATGCAAATGAAGCACAAAGTCCTATTTCCACCCATAGCATTTGTTTCCTTCCTATTAATCTCTCTACAGTCACCCTCACCAGAGTTTTTATATTACTGAATAATACGCTGTCCACCTCACATCTTAGATCAGCAACCTAGAAGTCAGCAGCTTTCCTCACATCCCTCATCCCCAAGAAAAGCCATATCCAGGGGGCTCAGGCCACCATTCAGGCAGCCCCTGTCAAGCTTTGCAGGGTCTGTCACAGAGTCCTGGCTTTTCTTTACTATCGGGTTAAATATTTTGTCTAGTAATAAACAAGTTGTTTTTCAAAATTACATGTTTCCTATTTCCAATCAATATTTTTATCTCCTGTGTACTATTCTGAGCTGATCTAATAAAGCAATTAGTTACTTTTTGATTCTAACGAGGTAAAATATCCTCTTAAACCAGGTATCTACTTGCTCTGATCTGCGTGGTTCTAATAGTGTTACCTCTTAGAGATCACCATGATTCACCTCTAATCCTCACTCCCCAAAGCTCCCTTCCCTCCTTTAACTATTTAGCTCCTACCCACCCTTCAGGACCCAGGCGAGCATTTGCCTGCAGGAAGCCAACATGAAAGCTTACGCTTGCACTGATGCCCTTCTTCCTAAATTTTCCAGGTCCCCTGCTGAGTACTTTATTTTATTCTTGCTCCTTTTTGTTTTTCCAGATGTGTTTTCTCTCACTTCCTAGGAAGTCCTCATGATTTGAATTATGACTTAGAGCATATTATCATTTCTCTTAGACACTGCATAGCACAGTGCTAGTTATAAAAGATGTTCAACAAATGGTGGCTGAATAGAACTTGAGCTGGTGCTCGCTGGAGATATTAAGTGGAGTGATGTTTAGCCAGAAACTTCAAATTGTTGTAATTGGTGGAAATATATATTTAGGGACTGTTAAGCTTCTTGACACTTTTTCAATAAAACCATATATTTTTAGTTACTTGCTGTTTTTACAGGGACAGTTTTACACAGAATTATATAGAATAATACAAGACCAGTTGCCACAAAAAAGCACAAAACACACAGAAATGGAGATTTTTCCTTTTACTGTAGATGATGAAATTGTACTACCAAGTACAGAGTTGTCATGGAATTGCCTAAAAGATAAACTTCCATTATATCATTGCTTTTGTTTCTATTGGCAATTATCTTCCTAATTTCTGAGTACTTATCGAGTTCAACAATTAGTCCAAACATTTTAGAATTATTAATTTTATCTTAATTCTAGCCATTTTCCCTCTTGCACTTAGATGCCAATTTAACAAATAGAATATCATATCAACAAAAACTCCACTTGCTCCAGGAGATTTATTTAGAATAGCAATTCACAATGACAAGGATATTACACAATAAATTCATATGGCTTACCCACTAAACAGATTAATATAGAGTCTCAGATTGTTTAAATAGATAGTATGTGATTATTATTTAGTTCAAAAGAATTCGCTAACACCCATCACATGATAATTTGGTAGATGCACTGGGGAAGGCACTAGAAATACAAAAAATGAGTAAAATATGTTATCAGCACTCAGGATCTCAAAGGGGAAATAGATAAGCAAACAGCCATAATGTCATATTATAAGTGCCAAGAGGGGACATGTATAAATTGTAAGAGAAATCAGGGGTATGCATAGGAAGCTAACCTTGACTGGTTTGCTTCATTAGGTGAATAGGGAGAACACACATGGGAAGAACAACATGAGCAAAGGTGCAGATGGAGCCACCAGGGAGAAGCTGGTCCTTGGTTCAACATCTTTCTCTGTCCTCCCCCATCTGTACACCCTGAGAAAACAGCTCAATTTTCTCATACATATTATTTTTCTTGGCCATTCATTATAACCTAGGGATGATCGCACTGAAGATGTGGTCTAAACTGGGGACGGTGAGCCTGGAGAAGGGTCTGGTACAGGCTTTGGACATGGGCTTGACCTCATTTGGGCAGGGAATTCCGGGGTCTCAGGCATCAGACACATGCTTTAGAAGGAGGAAGCCTCCAGCCTCACAGTGAGCTTGTCCCTTGGCGTCCTGACTCCCAGCCCTTAGGGCATAATGAAGGGAAGATGAGGCAAGGGCCATCTGAAGTGCAGCATCCAACCCGAGGGCCCCCCTTTCCTAGGTTTAATGATCGCACTGGCTACAATCACCTATGTTCTCCATGCTTACAGGAAGTATCAGTGTAAATGCAGACCTCGCTCCTAAAGATATTTTTCTAGGTCCTAAACTTGGAATTATAGTATTCTTCATAATAGGATGGTTAGTAATGGTTGCCTCACTCAGATAATGAATAACGAGCAAAATTATTTAAAATAAGTGAAGAAAGTGCAGCCCTGCCAGTAGACTTAGTTTTTAAGGCATCGCTTAGTTTCCTCTTATAACTTAGTATAACTAAATGAAACAAGATTATTTTTTCTAGTTTTTAGCAACAGTGCAACACTTTTCACTATAAGTTCTGATAGTTAATATTTTTATGACCTTCTCCAGGGAAACAGTTCAGTTAACTACTGCATTAAAAAGTCACTTGTTGGGGCCGGCCGAGTGGCAAATTGGTTAAGAGTTGGCTTGGGACGCCAGCTCTGAGCAGCAGGGCCCCAGTTCAGATTCCACATGAGGGCCAGTGATGCTGCGCCCTCTACAGCTAAGATGGTGAACAACAGCATGACTTGGAGCTGGGCTGCCGTGAGTCGCCAGCAACGAGGTAGGCTGCAGCTCCTGCTGCAGTGGGCTGCCGTGAGCTACTGTGAGTGGCTGGCAGCCAGCGTGAGTGGCCAGCAGCCGGCCTGAGCTGCCATGAGCCACCGTGAGCGGCCGTCCAATGGCTGACGAGTGACTGCCTCACCCGGGAAGAGTGCAATGATAATACCAACATGGGCCAGTGAAGCGACATCCTCCACAACTAGACTGAAGAACAAAAGGACAGTAACTTGTCTGTTCCCCTTCCCCTGCTGGGAGCCGTCTCAGAGTACTGAGACCCTAGGCTGACTGCAGGTGGAGAATGGCAGGTGGCTAAAGACCCCCAAGTCCTGTGTGCTGAGAAAAAGACTACAAAACTGCTTGTTGGCTGAACAGCAAAAAGGGAACTGCTAAAATCAGTAACCCAACAATGTCCAGCTCATCTCCTGTGCCCTGGAAAAGCAGAAGCTCCTAAACCACAACCACCAGACCCTCAGATGTCACTGTCTATGGACTTATGAACTTTGAGACCTTCTACCATGGACTTATGAACTTTGGGGACTTTTCCATCATGGACTTGCTGACAGTTGCTATTTGCCTTAAGTTTCACTTTACTTAAAATATATTATTGGTGTATGCTATGTAATCATGTAACTTGTTGCCAAGACATTATCTCACCTCCAAACCCCTAAGTCAGGAACATTGGTTCCTCCTTCCCCAAAAACCCCCACCAGAACCCCTATGCTTAGATAAGATTTATTCCTGGTAAAAGAGGAACTTGCTTTCTATATAAGCACTATGCCTTTTAATAAAATTTGTCATTGGCTGCCATCAGCAGTCAGTGAACCTCCTAATCCCAACTTTGGTGTGTATGTCATTCTTTCTTTTCTCATTTCTTCGTGCCAATCAACCCTGCTCAGGGACCGTTCGGTGGGTTCCTGGCCTGATCATCCAGGGGCCCTGGCTGTCAAGCCGGCTCTTGGCATTCCCTGATTTCCCAATGCTCTTCTCCTCCCCCAATTCCCCAATAAAATCTTTTAAAAAAAAAGTAATTTGTTGTGAGAACACTCATCTTGATTTCATCTCGTTTTTATAATTCTTTGAAACACCTTACACATAATGGAAAACAAATAAGCCAGACAATTTATTGACTCTAATAACAGTTCTTCCCCTTTTCTCTCATGTATTTATCTTGCCATTTCTGCTTGAATGTTTTATCCTTGGGGTGAATGCAGTATTTCAAAATTATTTTGAAGAAAACTTACCAGAGATAGGAATAATCCAATTAAAAATCATCTTGTTCCTGCAGCTTTATCTATTGTAGAAATTTAATTCTTGCCATAACTTTGGTTGATAAACATATTAATAAGAGATTTTACTGAGAAAAATTAAAGCTCAAGAAAGAGATATTCCCTAGACACAATAGCCTCCTGTACAAATTATAATTTCTTACAAATTTTTCAGTAAAAATTCTAACATGTCTCCAGTGATTAAATTTCATAATCCTCTAATAAACTATCTTATCTTTACTTTGATTTGAATAATCAGAGAAGCCCAGCCAGTGTTCTTTCTGTACATTTTTACCCTCAGTTAACACTTTCTTTTCAGATAACGGCATTTGTAATTGTCAGTTTTAAGTATCTGAGCATTGTTAAATATTAACAATTTACTAACATTAGTATTTAACAGCTAACATTAACTGTCATCTAAATGATTATTTACAAACCTTACTTTTATGTGAAATAGAATTTTTATATAAACTTACTGATTTTTGCCTTGTTGACCCTTTATAGTACAATGAAACTTATATAAATATGTTGAAAACATATGCTGATACATTTTTAATATAAACAGCAAACACAGGAAAGAGACACACGAACACACAGAAGACAGGCTACCCAAGCCAGGAAGTTACCTGCATTTGATTTATCTTTAACAATAGTTTTGTTGCTTTCCTTTGATTTTGACTATTAACGTGAAAGGCCCAGAGCCCTGGCAATGATATTCTGTATCTCATTGCTATTGTTTAATACAAAGTTGTTGAACTATCTATGAACTATATCCTGGCAAAAGACACTGTGAGAAACAAGTCGTTTATCTTTCTTTGGATCCATTCCCACCTCCATGGTGATTTGCCTGTGATTATCGAACTTCATCTGGGGAAATGGGCCCTGTTTTCCATTCACAAAGTGATGGATTTGGAAAACAAGTAAATCTAGAAGAACGTATAAACAGATTCTGTTTTATTTCATGGGCATGTAACAGGGGATAAAGTGACAAAGAATCCTTAGATTTTGTATCACATTTGGCATGATCGTGGAAGCTAAAGCAGGGGGAAAGTTTAAGGTTTCTCAGATAGCAAAGAGGAGCAGAAAGCCTGAAGATGAACAGCATGTAGAGGACAGGATGAGGAGTAGGAGACCTCTCAGAGCCAAGAAACCCAAGTTTATGTGAAGGAAGGTTGTGAATGGTATGAAATGCCGTTGAATAGTCAAAGGAGAGGGGCTAAAATTTTCCTGAGATGATGAATTTATAGAGAGATTTCAAGGGAGTAATAAGTAGCAAATACAGAATTTCCAAGAGACTCAAATGAGATAAGAGAATTGTTCTGAGAAAGAGAATGCAAGGTTGAGAGAGATTAGTTTTTGAGAGTCAGCTCTCTGAGAGAATTAGTTGCATCATGTCTTTTTAAAAACATGGACTGTAGTATAGGGCTTTGCATTTTTAATGAAAAATTGTAATTCTTACATAAATTTTACTCTATTTTACATAATTTTGAAAAAAACATACTGTAGACAGACCACTATATTTTCCTTTTCAGTTTGAAAGAGTAAGTTATTTAGCAAAACTTTTTTTACATGGGTGCCTTATCCAATTTAATGTAATATCTAATGCATTTTTGGTTTTAAGATACAGCTCTGATTCAATATACTTTATAATTTGTTTGTTTCCTTATAATGATGTTAGTATAGTGAAGGTCCTGAATAATAATAGAAATGTGTTTCTGGCTAATGTGTTTATGGTTTTAGACTTTTTATGTGTAATGTACTTAGAATTGCAGACAGTGGTATCCATAAATTTATTAGTGTACCCGTTTTTCTTAACCAAAATGGCTATTAGAATTTTTCCCATGCCCCAACTTCAAAAGCATCTGACACTTTGATTTTAATATGTTGTAATCCATACTTAATTCATGCTAATTCTATGCCTTAATTTTGAAAAGTGACAAAAACGTAATTCTGAAGCATAAACTAGACCCTATGTGCTGAAGTATTTATTAGCTCCCATTATATGCCTGACCTATATTTCCAGAACTTAAATTATTATTTGATAAAGTTGAGGACCATACAGTCTCACATGGTCATCATTGATACATGTGGTCCGGAAACCGGAAGGAGGGAGGGTGGGACTTACCAATAAATACAGTCTGTGAATTCATTCAGTCTGCATAAGCCTGAGCCCAGTGAGTGACCTTATGACATAAAAAGTCATGGCACACTGCGACTAAAGGCCAACCTCCAGAACAAAGAACCCCAAGTGATTTGATAACAAGACCCACGTCTTATTTTGTCACTGTGTCAGATGAGGAAGGACGTCAAAGAATCAAGATGTTCACAGATTTGCATCAGAGAATTTGTGTAACAAAGTGGTAAAAAGCTATGTTTTTGAGAGAAATTTCTTTTCTGGGGGGTAAATTTTCAGGCTGTTGTGGCCTGGGGAACTAGAGCAGACAAAGTCTTGGGTTTGTGATTTGGATTGGGGCTATATGGACAAAATAGAATGCAAATTGTTTACATTTGAACAGTGTTTCATCGTAAATAATAATATGGAAAATAAGTTTTTATGCAAACAACATAACAGAGTTCTTCAGGTATCCTGATTTCAGATGAAAGGAGGTCAGCCTTGTCTCCCATCTGTCCTGAGTCACGCAGCGCCCTCATCAGCACTGATTCTTGTGTGATCAGCAGAGCCAGGGGATTTTCCAGGGGTGTTTTACATTAAATTTCCAAATGTTTTAGGACGTAATTTGGCTCATGTTATCTCCTGACATTTTATATGCAATATAAACAAAGCTACTCACTGTTTGTTACTTGTTACTGATTTTTGTCGTCATTTCATCTAACCTAAACATTGGGGCAAGTGAAAAAGAGAAGCTCTATAATATGGGAATGAAACAAGGGAACCACCACCTGAGGAATGATACGCATTCCTCAGAAAATATGTGTATTCACAGAATTTCTAAGTACTTACAATGTAATAAGCTTCCTAAAATTTGACTCTGGTAAACATATTGAAATCCATAATCTTATAACTACCTTTTATCATTCTTTTTTTTTTTCTTAATTTCTCAAAGTGACATAAAACCACAATTTTAGTTCCTATTATATTTTGTTTTTTTTAAGCCTAGTACAAACAAGGTTTGTTTTTGTTTTGTTTTTGTTTTGTTTTGTTTTGTTTTGTTTTGTTTTGTTTAATGCAATGCATATGGCTTTGTGTTTCTCCTCTAGACCTGGATTGACTGTGATACTTTGTAATCTGTCTCCAAAACCTGGACTCTGCTACCTGTCATACACTGAAATCTATATACATAGAGTAGACAGGCTATTTCTCATTGTTATATCCATTTAATTGCAACAAATTCATTTTGGAAACGCATAGCATTGAGGTTTGAGAGAGATGAACTGTTTACTGATAGTGATGACAAGCCACAAAGTTTGGAAAGCTGTGTGTATGTGTGTACTTGTATTCCTCTTCTATTTCATAAGAAAATGAGGATTTAAGTGGCATTATTGCTAGTGTTTTAATTAAAATAGATTCTTGGCCTTTCAATACAACCTGCTTTCTTCTCTACAGAAGGAACTAGTGTTTAGCTCTTACTCTCTTTAATGAAAATTAGC